ATGATCAGTCATTATCAATCTACAAGGTCTCCTCTAATCTTTTCCATTTTTTCCTGTCTAATGCTTTGGTTTTCCAATTTACGTCAACCATTTTCTTTATTTCATTGTTCCATCATACTTAGGGTCTTTGTCTTGGGTGTTTGATCCCTCTTCGGTACCAGTCTAGGATATTTGTAATCCATCTGTTGTCTTGTCTTTTAGCAATGTGTCCAGTCTATTGCCATTTTGAACATTTGATTCTCTCAATAATATCATATACACATTTAGGTGTATATACATATTATTTTATTTAGAGTAGTGGCCTAAAGTAGAGCTATCCTTGACATATGTTTTAATAATGCAACCTCTATTTTGTTTACCACCTACTACATAATTAATATTGTGATAGTTGAAAAAAGCACAAAAAAAAAGTCAAAATACTCAATTGAATCAAACAGATTTTATTTTAAATCTGATTTACAAAAGAAAAAACAAAGTTTTTATATTTTATACTGTGACAAAAGAAGAGCTACCAAAGGAAGTATGCAGATTTGTCCAGTATTTTTAGGACAAAATATCAGTATTTTGTGGCATAACAGAGCTTCTGATCACTGCATTGCATCTATATTCCATTGAATCAACTAAGTTGTCAAGCAGTGATTTGGGAGTTTCATACATGCTTTTTGAATGGTATACCATAATTCATCCGGATTCAAATATGTATGCTGGTGTATACGGCACTCAACTTCACCCCAAAGATTCTCTATGGCAGTGGTCCCCAACCTCCGGGCCGCGGACCGGTACCGGTCCGTGGATCAAATGGTACCGGGCCGCCCAAGGAACATTAAATTACTGGTATTTCCATTTTATTTACTATGGTGTATTTCTCTCGGGTTTGTGCGACTTTTAATGGACGACGGAACAACGGAATAAACTGGACATAAGAAACACACTTCGGGTGTCATTGTCTCCTATTACCCCCAGATGGAACCGTCTTGTTGCAAAGAAACAAGCTCAGGGTTCTCATTGATTTAACGTTCATTTTTGGTGTAACTATATTTTATTTTGAAGGCATGTTTAAATATAATTAAATTAAAATGATTAAATTAAATCAATCTAAAATATAAACGAATCAACGTCCCCCCTCAGTGGGCCGCGGTAAAATATCAAACGTTGACCGGTCCGCGGCGATAAAATGGTTGGGCACCGCTGCTCTATGGGATTTAGGTCTGGTGATTGGAATGGCCATGTCATAAGATTCACACTTTTCTGTTAAAACCATTGCTTTACCAAATTTGTTGTATGTTTTGGATCTTTGTCCTGTTGGAAGATCCATTTCCTTGGCATTGAACAACATGCATGAGGAAGCGTTTGACTCTGCAATATGTTCCAATAAATGGTTTGATCCATTATTCCATTAATTCTATGAATTGCACATTCCCTTTGTAGAAAAACATTCCCATACTATTATGCAGCCACTATCATACTTTATTTTAGGAACTGTGTATTTTGGGTCATATCTCATGTTCTCTGATCATCTGACATATCGTATACCATCACTAGAGAAAACACTGAATTTAGATTTATCACTCCATAACACCTTGGACCATTTTTATTCAGCCCAAGTGATGTGTTCATGTGCAAACTTTTTGCAGAGATGAGTAGTTTCTTTGCTGGTCATCTCCCATGTGATTCAAAACTAGTCAAACATCTTTGTACAGTCCTTAAGCTTATATCTAGGTTACCCACTTCACATTTATGTGAAGCAATCAAACAAGGGTTGGCTGCACTCGTATGCCTGATTAAACTATCAAACTGTGGTGTTGTTTTTCACGGTCTACCTGACTTTTTGGCAGAAACAATGGTCCCATATATTTGAAAACACTTTACCACTTTCGTGACAACAGTTTTATGCATATTAAAGATTTTATCAATTTCAATAAAGGTCTTCTTTTTCCTTCAAACACATATCTACCATTCTTTTTTGATATCATTTGATAATTGTATTCCTCCAGACAACTTAGTTGGTTCAATGGAGTGTAGACATGATGCAGTGATCAGAAGCTCTGGTTATGCCACAAAATACTGGACAAATCTGCATACTTCCTTTGGTAGTTCTTCTTTTGTCACAGTATAAAATATAAAAACTTTGTTTTTTCTTTTGTAAATCAGATTTAAAATAAAATCTGTTTGATTCAATTGAGTATTTTGACTCTTTTTTTTTTTTGGTGCTTTTTTCAACTATCACAATATTAATTATGTAGTAGGTGATAAACAATATAGAGGTTGCATTTTTAAAACATATGTCAAGGGTAGCTCTACTTTTGGCCACTACTGTATAAAATTTACAACTTTTGAATTTTCTGATGCATTTAAAAGCATTGAAGTTTTTAAGAAGTATTTTTGATTTGTAGCATAACATGTTCTCTTGCAGTACTTGCAGGTTGTTGCAAATAGTTTTACATTTATGACACCAATAAAGTAATGTTTTGTGGATTAATGAAAGCCAAATCATTGTATACATTGTCCTTACTGTTTTATGAATATTGTTAAGAAAAAAATTCTATCAAGAATTTTCTATAAAAACAATTTGACCCAAGCTAATTAGGCTTTTACATTTGTAGTTTTCTTTCTGAAAGAAAATTTAATTTATTCAGTATTGAATTTTAATTTAGTCTTAATTTAGCAAATGAATTTTAATTTATGATTAACCCCTGGATTTATGTTACACAATGATTTTCTTGCTGGTAAGTAGAAAAGTCAAACTTTTAATTGTCAATTTCTGAAGCAAATTATGCTAATTTCATATAACATATTTTTATATATTTTAGTGGTTACTACAAATTTCTATTTTTTTCCTGGCATGTCAACTAATTAGTACTCTTATAATGTGAAGTCTGTGTATAAGGTTAAAAGAGAGCAATAAAAACATCTTGCCAATAGGAAAATCTTTTTCAAAATATAAAAAAAAACATTGTATACAAGCAATTTTACAATGCTTTTAAATAGAATCTGTAGCACACATGAGAAAGGGGTTATTACATGTGCAGTTTTTGAAATTTGATATGTTTATTTTTGCACTTTTTGAATCAAATTATAATAAAATAAACAAAAAAGAGCACTTCTTGCATTCCACAAGTATTTTAATTGTTAGAAAGAAAACAAAATGCAGAAATTAAACATATAATTACGGTTTTTAATGTAATGCTGACAGTTTCACAATTTTACAATAAAAATAGGCATCTAGGCAATGCCACATAATGTAACTCTCTTCTATTTTTTTATTTATGCACCCTCTGAAGAGGGATGTATAACCTCACATAAACTGGTATGCCAATTTTTACCATACAGAAATATCTGATTTCATGGTCTCCCCGTATAGACCAATTTACTGGACAATCGGCAAAAATATGGTAACAATATTTAAAATAGAAGCTTCAGACAGCATTTGTGATATCTTGCTTCAAGTGTTCTGTCCTCAAGATAACGATTGCCATGAATACATAGTTCAGTTTTTATTCAGTGGTCTGCTGATTCAAATATAATGCCAAAAGATTCCTTTTGTGTAAGTTGCAATTATGGACAAGAGAATTATCAGATGAAACTATTATTATGCCAAAAAAAGTAAGTATATCAAAATACTTCTAATCATTTATCTATCAATAAAGTTATCAATGGAAACTTTAAAATTAAATTATAATTTATTGATAAAAATTAATAATATATGATATGATGATTTGAAAATGAATATGTAATAGACCAAGTAGCATAAGAATATGAATGTTTGGATAATCTCTCTTTTGTAATCATAGTCTGGAATAAAGAATTAAACTTTTACATATCTAAATCTAGGATAATAGAAATGCAGTGATCTATTTGCAGGAAAGAATAGTAGTGAAGCTTTTTCTCATGAGAACATTCTTAAAAATAAGGAACAAAATAAACTGTTTTCAAAAGTTTTAGGTGTAATATTGTATGCTACAGAACATCTGAATGAGCAGTAAAATCTGGATATGGCAACCCTATTCTGGCTATATGAATCAACTGCAAGTTCAAAAAAAAAAATTATTTTTCTAAAACATATATCATGCTTTTTTAACATGTTCCACTATAGTGGTGAAGTGCTTATGCTAGGACTTTTGTGTCTGTCAGATGTGCATGTGCATGCTCCATTCAATCCATTTATTGCACATGTCCACATGCATGTGCAATGACTTCACTTTCGTTACCTAAGTGTTATGTTCCATTCAATCTATTTATTCCGCATGTATACGCACATGCACAAAAGGAAACTGAACGTTTTTGTTTACAGTCACTATAAGCTATAGTAAAAACTATGCAGTTCCTCTGGAATCTATAAACCACATCCATTACTGTATATTCAATGAAAAATTCTTCTGAACAACTATTTGATTCCAAGAATTTATAAAATTTATTTTAAACAAAATTAGTATTTGATTCATTTTTGTGGAGCGTGCTATCAGATCAGCTTGACCAAGTTTGTTTCTACTTATTTTAGGATTTTCATATTTATATACACATTTTATGGGTTTTTGTAACATATAAATCCAGGTGTTATTTGTGATATATAACAATGTGTATTTTCTTATATGATTTTGGGTAATAAATAAGTTATCTCCAACATTAAAGCAAAACATATATTTATGTATATTATGTTTTTATTATAATTATAATATTATAATAAAATATAAATATTATGACTTCCTGCTAAAGCAGATTAGAAATTGAAAATAATTTAATGCAAGAAGAATGTCATTAAATCAAAATTATGTTTCTGCAGTTGGCAATGAAAAAATCAACATTCTTAAAGACAATTAAAGATGCTTGTAAGTTTAATAAATATCTGTCTTTAATTTGTAATTTTGTTTTATTTTATTGCCAAATTTTGAAATCAAACAGAGATAACTGAGATTCAGATAATCATATGCTACTTTAAATTGTATAATCTTTTAAAATAATATAAATTAATTATGACTATATGAATGACAAATTTCTTTCAGCAGTTTCAGAACCGACTACATCTTCTCCTCCAAAAACAAAGTCAATCGGAAGCATCGGGATGTCCGAGACACCACCGAAATCGAGTTTACGGCTAGACGACGATAACGAATTTCCTCCCGTCACCCACAAAACTGACTGAGTTAAACCAAACAAACATAATATCAAATTGGGAAATAACAATAGTGTTCATGGCTTCTGTTCCAAAAGTGGAAGAAATGTTTTTTGGACATCAAAATCATACATGATAGCGCACGAAAAAAAACCTGTTAAAATATAATTGCAGAAACATTTTGCAAAAGCTGCATTCGAAATAAACTTTTTACCCATATTCAAATGGTTTTAATATGAAAAATCAGTATCCTTTTGAACAAATTTAAAAAATTTTTTCTATGATATTATTTGGTAAATTTGTTCTGTTCTGTATCTTATTTGACATTAAAATTTTTAAAGTAAATGACAATGTAAGATCATGTAGACGTTCAAATTGTTAAAATTAATTTAGTTGTATTAATTTAATATATTACATTTGTAAGTTGAATGCAAAAGAGATTAAAGTTGTTTATAAAAAAAAATTTTATGCTATTAAAAATGCTATTGTGTTCATGTTCTCTTCCATTCCGTTAGTTGAAATATTCCATTTTTTTCAAATTATTTACTGCAGAAACACAGTTTTTGATTAAGTAGACAACAATATCTAAAACATAAATATCTAACAAAAGAAAAAACTTTAAACAAAGATTTATTTTCTTTGAAAGAGTCAGGGTTTATAATATATATTTTTATTTTCTAAAATATCAAGTTTGTTAAAATATAAATATTATGACTTCCTGCTAAAGCAGATTAGAAATTGAAAATAATTTAATGCAAGAAGAATGTCATTAAATCAAAATTATGTTTCTGCAGTTGGCAATGAAAAAATCAAAATGAATAAGCCAGGACAGGAAAGGAAATATCTCTGTAAACATATCAGAAATTAGATTAACTTAATCTTCAATTTACACCAAGAGTTTCCGAAACCTAAGGTAAACACAATCCAAAATGTCAGAAAACACTACGGATCAATCAGGCTGTCAGTTAAATTTTTAGGATTGAAGTTGACAATCATAATGCTGTAGAAGTCGTATAGTTTTTACCTTTGCATTGTATATCAGGCTTGCCTTATCCAAATATCAACACTGCAATTTTTTGAACTATTACAGTTTAATTTGCAGCTTTACTCAGAAATGCTATTATAGTTCTTTTCCACACTAGATAGTTCATAAAGTAGTATATAAGTGCCTGCCTCAGTGCATACTGGAGCAATGTAAATATTTTGGTACTACCAAATAGCTTCAATTGCATAAAATTTTGGATATTTTTATTTACATTCCCAAGTTCTTATACAGTTGAAGCTAATTTTAGCCACTTAAAAACAGCAAGATGAATTTTAGTATTAATTAACAAATCTCCAAGTAAACATTAACAGCCTTGTTAATGAGATGGACGTAGTTGATGAGCATTAACTCTTTTACTAGAAAAAAATGGGAATATTTTGTGCCTGTTTTTTGTAATACTGGCTCATCTGAGAATCTTTTGTACTTGATAACCTTTGACATGATTAACCTGCTGTCAGGTTTTACAAGGTAAGAACCAAACCTGCTAGTGAAAAGATTAAATGTGTCAACTACCTCAATGGAAACTAATTTATTTTATAATTATATTAAGTGTATACAGTGGAACCCCAGTTAACGAACTTAATCCGTTCCGCAACTCCGTTCGTTAACTGAATTGTTCATTAACCGAAGCAATTTTTCCCATAGAAATTAATGCAAATGCAATTAATCCGTTCTAGTCTCCAAAATTTTTGTGATTTTATTTGTAATATACAGTAATTTTCTTTGATGAAAATGTAGGAAAACGTAGTATCTATCATTACAGCAACAAACATGTAAACTTTGTTTAATAAAATAGCACTGTACATATCTTCGTTTGTTGTAGTTGGTGGCAGAAAAGTGGAGATGTATGAACCTTAATGCTTAGAAGAGGAATCCCTTCCAAAAATATAACGGGTAGCACTTCATCGGAAGATTCTTCAAGTCGAAGTCTCGGTAAAAAAACCCACCAGTGGCTAAGTGGTCTTCGTACCTTGAACACGGGGAGTGGGTTCGCACCTCGCTCAGACGGGCTGGCCATGTGGAGTTTTCTGGGTTTTCTCCACGTCTGTAACGCCCAAATAGGGGACAGTTTCCCTTAAAAACACCTCCCAGAAGGCATTCCCCTAGGCAGATCGCCCAAGTGTTGAGTTGCCATAACTTAACAAACAAACAAACTCTTTCTGTAAGGAATAAGAAATTGATCTAAAGTTGATCGTCTTACTCTTTTAATCAAAATTTTTCTCAGATGCGATAGCTCATTGTCGTTGATATTGCGTTGTCATTTTTTATTGCCACTATGACTTTTTTCTTTCTTGGATGCCATATTGATTAAATATAAAAATCACAAAATTGAAAAAAGAAGTATAGCACAAACACTTGGAAAAGCAATGCTTAACTCGCACATGCCTAACACCAACTAAAATTTCACACAAAATAACGTTACGTTTGTTATCCGAGACAAAATTTTTGCAAAATAAAAGTTCGTTAACCGATTTGGTCGTTAACCAGGACGTTCGTTAACTGGGGTTCCACTGTATTAATATTTGTTAAAGTACTATTATTATTATTCACATATTTTTTATTTACAGTATTTATTTTTGCTTGGGGATCAATGAAGGACCATGAATTTCATAAAGCTCATTTCAATTTTCATGCTATGTTGTCTATAAGTTCCCTGTTATACCTATGTGTGTACACGATGTTTTTAATGGAAGGAACTTTCATACATAGCCAACAATCAAAAGATGGCAATCTAAATCACACATAGTGTTAGACTACAATCACAGACTAACTTCCACCTATAAACTAATGACCAAATTCTGTAACATCAATATAACTTGTTAGAATGTCATATTTTTCCCGAATATTAAATAACGGTAAAGATAAAAATGATGTAGATAGTTTACTCTATATCTATAATGGACAACAGGTTTAATTGCCAGCTAGTGTATATAGGATCCACAAACAGATTGTATCACAGAGGATCAACAAACACCAACATGACATTGATACAAATAAAATGTACAGTACCATCTTAACACAATATGCCAGCAAGCCGGGGGTGTCAGTGGGATTTGACAACACAACTCTTGTAAGGCCATATTTGAAGAGCACTCTCTGAGAAAATTGGAAATTTGGAGATTTTTAAAGCAAGTATGAGGGGCAAATACAGTAATCATAAGGACTGTGATAATTCATTCTCTATGGCATAGCAGTCTTTATTTGATTACCCATTAAAAATCAAGAATAACACCCAACAAGTGGATACAATCTAACCTAAGGCATATACTGTATTTCATATAATGACTGAAAAGTTACTAGTTTAAATTTTTTTTGGTGTAAGTCTGGGCGTACACTATACTTATCTTTATCTGTGAAATAAAGATGTTTTGTTTTTTGACTAAGATCTCCTCTCTTTGCTAATCCGAAACTGCACCAGTAGATCAAGTCCTATTAGTAAACAAAGGTCCAAGTAGACAATACAGTATATCAATATATACACAGAAAAGAAAAAACCCGAGGCAGGTCTCATAGAAAACTGAAAATATTTGTAACTCATACAAAGTCTGCTGGAAAAGTGAGCAAGGTGTGTATATCACAATAGTTATAATAGTTTTCATTGATAAAGTTTAGGATTATGCTAACACTTATTCATTGTATTTTAAAATAAAATACCAATGTTAAACTGAAATTCTATTGTGTAAAATAAAATATTTCTATTTTTTTTTTAACCTTGTTAAATTGAAATCAGGCTATTTGAGTACCTTGTAAGTTGAGAGCTGTTTTGTAAATATAAAAAGTATCTGATCACACAAAGTGAACTTCATATTGATGCTTTTTCTCTTACAGATTCTGTTACAAATTTCAACAATATAAATAATAATTATGAATTAAAAGTATTTACACTTATTGACATAAATTCTTTAATGCACGATAGTTTGTTATAGTGAAAAAATTTAACAAAGTTTTTTATTTTCCTAAATAATAGTACTTTTTATAAACAGTAGAACACAAGATTGCATATTACGTCTATGAAGTGACTGTAAGTTTTTAAAAGTTTGTAATATACTGGTTTATAACATCAATTCAGAAAAATTATTTTGCTTTAGTGGAGTTTATTACATATTCTCCAAATATCTACTAACATTTTTTAATGTATTTTTCTAGTTTTTATTCTATTTCCACTTATATCTTTTGAAGTTGTTTTTTTTATTATAATTTAAAAGTTAAGATTTATTTTCAGTATAAATTGAGGTCCACACGACTGTTATTGTAGCCATATATCCAATGTCCACAACAGTGAAACTCTCCTAAATGCAGAGTGTTGGCAGACCAGAATGGTATGATAAAACAGGGATTGTATGGAGGATGATGATGCAGACTTGGCCTTTGACTTGTGCGCTAGATTGTTATCTAGGTAAAGGAGCCATGTGTCGTGCCAGGATCTTGGTTGGATGTTTGGAATCATTGAATGACTTTTGGCAGACCTGTTTGGGTGTACAGTACCAAGAAGTAATGACTGTGCACTGTTTTTCTAGTATAATTCTCTCCACAATACCACATTTTCCAAAGAATACTGTAATCATTCATTTCTTTGTCAAATTGATTTTTGGACCTCTGTTAGTTACTTCATCTTCAAACAGCCAAACTTTGCTCTGAGATTTTGTTGTGACATTGTAATAATACAGCAAGTCTCATAACCTGTTGTAATGCTGCTAACATACTTAGATTCCTAGACTCAGTGTTTAAGCATTTTTTTTTTTTTTGTATCCTGTTGTGCTTCTGTTCCTGTCAGTGAGTGGAGCACTCAAATCTAACCTTCTTTAATCCTAGGTGTTTCTGCAGAATGTGGTGAACAGATGTACTAATGTGCAATAGTTCTTCAATCCACCAGTCTTCATTGAGTTTCTTCTCTACAGCATCTAAATTTTCTGATATCACTGCTTTTGATGGCTGAGTGTGGGTCATCCTCCAGACTAAAATTACTACTTTTAAACTGTTTATATCATGGTTAATGGTCTCGAAGAAACAACAATGTTCCCCAAAACAGAAGACATTTGTAATGGATAATCATGCAATATTTGGTTTTTGTTCATGTTGCCCTTTTCCAATATTTTATCACTGCTTGCTTGAAAAGTACCAGAAGCAGGAACTTGGCCTGGACATTAGTTCCTCATTTTTTTCATGCTCTTTTGATTGATGAAAGACTCATTTTGGTACAATCAATAGAATGTGCATTGGACAAAACTTTCTCAGTGACCTATGTAAGTTGGGCATTGTTGAAGAAAGTCTGATAGAGTTCCAGGAAATTTCCCTGTAAAAGGCAGAACAATATCATCCACATGTTCCTGGGCATATAACTCAGAACTATTAAGATCCCTCAGCAGACCATTCATAACAACAGTGAAAGACCCACCTTGCAATTAGCCTCACATTACAGATGTTCTCAAGAAAGTTCTGAAAAGGAAATCACCATTCTAGGATGGCATAGCATTAAAATCCAGCAAACAAGAACAGGACCCACACCATTTGATAGCCTCAAAAGAAGTCTTATCAAAAGCATCCTTAATGTAAAAAAAATGCACCTAATTCAATTTCCTTGACATCCAATGCTTTTTCAGTTTGGAAAATCAAATTGTGTAAGGCAATCTCACAGGACTTGCCAGTTTGATAAACAAACTGAAGAAAATGGAGAGGAAACTTATTCAAACATTTCTCCCTCAGATGCGTATCTACAAATTTTTTCCAATGTTTAATATAGAGATTGATTGTTGATAGTCCTATTACACTTTCGTCTAATATGGCTGAAAGCCTTGGCTTCAGAATGATTTCTTGAAAATCACTTTAACCAGCTGCCAGGCCGAGGGAACACGACTCAATGCCAGACAGGACTGGTAAATGTGAGAGAGAATTTGCTGTTGGATCCGATGTTTGGAAGTATTTGCATTTTGAAATGTATGATCTACCCCGAAATGGCATCACCCATTTCACTGTTACGTCTTGTGAATGAGCTTGTTTTTCTTTTCTGCAATAATTCTCATGGATGTGAACATTGCAATGATCTTGCAAGTAAAAGGTGATTTTTCCTGTTGTGTAGTTGCATGCTGTGATGCAAGACTTTTGATTGATTTTGGAAACATTGATCTATTTTCCTCACTAAGCTCTAACCCAGTAATGCCCAAATTATTTATTTTTGGAATTTTACATTGATATTTAGTTTTCTTACTTATAATTACTTTCCAAGATGCCCTGACTAATTTCTTTGAGGTAATTGTCAAAGTGGCCCTATAATTAACTGTCCTATAAATAGGATGCTGGGTGGAAACAATATCATATCAACATTCACAGGCAAATTTCAAATAATGTCACAAATCTGCTAATGTTCCTGATTTTAATTTTACAGTAATGTAAACACAAACTTTAGTAAAAAAGAAATAAATACAGTTATATATTCTGTGAAGAAATAATCTTTTTGGCACATGGTAACTCTCAACACAGTTTAGACACAATATCACATTAAATTTTTTAGTGAGAGGTTTATTTTTACAATCTTCATTTTGGCATCTCCTTTGTGTGTTCCTCTTGGTAAAATGGTTTTTACCATCAAACCTTACTCCTGGAAGTACATAATTATGTTCATGTTCTTGATATGATTAATATCAAGAACATAATTTTCATGGTATCGGTACTGGGTTAGAGGAATGCCAATTGCAGAAAATATTCCGAAATTGTGTGTTCACATACTATTTTGTGTGATTTCTGCAGACCCCTATGTGGTTTTGTGCATTTTGCCACAAGACACGGGCCAAGAGACAAGTCAGCATCAATAGAATTAGAAATACTCGTCCGAAATGACTTGTTTATCAGTTTGTATGAATTAAGATGACTGCAAGTAAAACCGATTCAAAATAAAGTAATCCACAAGATTACTTTATCTTGAATTGGTCGGTGTAATTGTTCTTTTTAAGACTGGGTCTACTAGGATATTAAAACTATTGTATTTATTCAAATACTCCACGCTTTTCCCAAAAAAACTCTGCATGGTTTCAAAACAAAGTCGCGGGTGCTTCCGGTTACTGTGTTTTGCATACTTACTCTTTCAAAAGCACAGATGATAGTTACAACCATTATTAATAAGTATATTCATCACTAGTAATTCATGAAAATGAGGATAAATAAAAGTATACAACTGAAACAGTAAGTAATCTTTATACCTATATTATTTCTTAGCTTAAGCTATTGGTCTTATAGCAGTTTGATTCGAATTAAATAAATACATCAAGACTTCTTTTTGTTGTTTATCTTTTAATAGTGCATGGACTCATAAACCGAGGTCTGCTGTGTCAAATGCTACAAAACAGAGGGAAGGTTGTTGCTATTGTGTTACGGCCATACATTAGTAAAACTCGTCCAATTTAATTTACATTTTTTTTAATAATAGCTATCTTGAAAAAATCAAGAGTACGGATTACTCGAGTAAACACCTTAAGAAATATTTTCGTTTTGATGTGCCGTGGGAATTTCAACGTCGATTTTTAAATCCAATAGTAAGCGAATGTCTCGATAATCTTATTGATTTTATTGCCGATCTCAGATAAAACGTAACCGCACGACAAGCTAGTCAATTTGTAACAAAATAGAAATGCATTCACAGTATTTTATATAGAGGAATACCGTTTTTATTGCAGTTCTATTAATTTAAAAGCATATTTTTTTTTATAAAAATTTATGATTTTTTTTACATATTTTTTTTAATATTTTGTTACAAGATGATAATAATAATAATTAGATAAACAGATATACACTGAGAAATAAACAATTAAATATCAAAAGTTGTGCAGACTATTCTATTACTTCTTTGACAACGCAAGACCATGTAACTTCAGAGAGGGACGCTCTCTATTCGAACCGAGATGATGCAAATTGAGCAACTTGAAATATTCTCAAATCTAATTTTGTTAACATTCCAAAATAAATAACATGTCATTTAAAAATGTGCAAAATTTATCAGGAAAAATAATAACAAACATGTTTTTTTTTAACACTCAACATATATTTTCATTATTTTTACTCTCGTAAACAATACATTTTGTTTCAAATTGTCCCCAACAATTACTTTTCCTTTCCCCGTTGTCTCGGATTGTCGTCCGGATAAATAGAAATAAGAAATTCCTCTCCGGCTTGCATTCGGGCGTGACGTGTCCGTGGCGTCGTAAAGCGGACGAGCCGACTTAAAACGGTACCGTAATAAATCTAAAGGCAATTTATAATTTTCTATTAAATAATCCTAAAGTTGGGTTTTATAATTTTTTTATAAGTTCTATTTGTATCAAAAAGGAGTTATTCGTGTGTACTTTTTGTTCTTCCGTAAATGCAAATTTTTGTAATCTCGTCGACTTTAAAGTATTACGGACAAAAGCGCGGGTGAAAAGAATCAGTGCGGGAGCCTGCACATTTCGCAGACTTCGCTGCCGGGCTGATTCAGGAATGTGCAAAATCTACATGTCCACATCGGGTTCGAAGATGCTCCGACTGCAGCACTAGTGTTTAAGTGAGGCAGAGATGAAGTATTTTCTGGAAATATAAGTAAAATATTTAAATTTCTTAATACTTAGATGTACTTAATTTATTAATAATTATTAAAATTTAATAATAATTTAGATGTACTTAAAATTAAAAAAAAAAAATTTTATAGATTTAATAAATGAATGAAGCTTATAGTTGTAGCCTGCTACAACTATAATAAGCCTAATATAATCGATGTTTCTATCGTGAGTTAATTAATGAAAAAAGTTTCTATTATGCGACATGCATACTGTTCTGTCAAATTAATCACCAACCAGTACATATGTGGCAAATATCATTAGGAGGAAAATGAAAATACAAAATGTACTCATCTTCCAAGATTGTAGACAAAATATAAAATTTCTAGCACATTTTGTTAATTTTAATCGTCTTTAGTCCATCCCGGATTAAAAATGACAGATGTACGGAGACGGAGAGAAACAAATCCGACCGTCAATGATAGCATCGTCAATGATTGTTCAAATTAGAAGCGAGAAATGATAAAGTAAGTACCAATGATTGAGTTTGACACTTAGATATTTGAAAGAAAGTTTTGAAAATGTAAGATCTATCTTTGTATATTTAAAAGTTATAATTTAATACTTTATTAATACAACAGTTTTGCTTAGAATTGTTATTACAGTAATCTACAATGATGTTCAGAAAATTACAAAGTGATTATTGAGACTTGCCTTTAACATTTTATAATGAAACTAACTGTTACCCGCGACTTCGCCCGCGAAAATTTTGCAAGCAAACCCCATTTATATTCAGTATTTCAACAACCATAGTAATTGTTATATAACACCTACCGCTGAGAATGATGAGAATTGCCAAGAATCAAACGAACTATTTTCAATTTAATCAATTTTCTGGAACGTTTACAATTGTTCTATAATCAAACCAATATGCAGTTAACAAATTCGAATTTAAAACAGTTCGAACATTTTAAAAATCAAAATAGATAAAAATATTTATAACAATGAAATGTTATTAATTTAATACACCTAAGTATTCGATGAAGACTAAATCCTCTCCCTCTCCCCCGAGGGAGAATTTCGAAAAATCCCTTCTTAGTGTGCATTCCCATGGTATACCCTACTAAAACGCAGATAAAAACAAAAAATTGCATCTAAAATAGTACAGTAGAAGCAGTTCTTCCAGTTAAGCCTTAATCCTCTCCCTCTCCCCCCGTGGGGGAATTTTGAGAAATCCCTTCTTAGTGAGCGTTTTCATGACGTACCCTAACTGTGTACCAAATTTCCCCTCTAGGTTCAGCGGTTTGCTCTGGGCGATGATGAATCAGTCAGTCAGGACAAGCAATTTTATATATATAGATGATAAACATTAAATGAGGTAAGTAAATACGACTACAAATAGTGAAGTACAACTACAAGTCTGGCTTTATGGAATAACAATAAAAGAACACAAAACAATTATAATTGATTCCTCATTATTGGCCATGTGGCGAGGCGGTCAACAAGTGGATCTTAAAAAATGGTATTTAAATAATTCTAATACGATAATATTGCTCAAAGTAAGACATTATAATAAGCAAGGTCTACTAGTCATTTTGGGTTTCCCCTGCAAAATAAATATTAGCATTAGTATATGGTACCAATAATCCTCAATTTACATAGTAGATCAATTTTGATTTTGTAGAAGTTTTGTATTTTGGCTGGTCGAAAGGAGTGAACATTTATGATTAGGAATTGCATTATCAAAAAATTATTAAGTGTACACTTCAAATCATCAAACAATTTATTTTAATCTTTTACATATATTAAGCTGTAAAGATAGTTGACAGTTCCTTACAAGATTACTTTGTCATTTATCATTTAAAACTTTTAGAATGTATTAAAGCAATATACCGAACAGTTTGGCAATTTGTTTCTTAACTCGTAATGTCTAGAATGCAATAATTTTAATTCGCGGGACGGAATGTGTTTATTTGAATGTCGGCGCACACGTTTGACAGTTTTAATTCACAGCAATTAAAAAATTACAGCCAAACAATCAAGCTACGTTAACAATTCAATCACCTATCTCTAGTCAAATTAGATGCCATCTTTTATCATTTTTAACTTCACCACTATAGTGGGGCATGCTATTATGTTAGACTTTTGTGTGTCTGATAGATGTGCACACACATGCTCCACTCAGTCCATTTATTGCGCATGTCCATGCATATGCGCAATGACTTCACCTATAAAAATGCTTTTCATCTTAGAATTGAAATAAGTCAATTGAAGTCTTTGTATAAATGATAACGTTTCTTCACATTCAATTCTTTTATTTCAGGTATTGAGCTTTTAACTGGATTATTGTAAAGACAAACAAACCTATTCCAGCAACTATTTTTAATTTTATCTAATGCTTTTGACTATCTGTGTAGACATTGTCAGGATCAAACACTTTGAATAGAATTCTTTAATGTTTAAATATTACATTCTAAACTAATGGTTTAGAATGTAATATTTAAATGTTTACGCCTATAAACCACATCCCTTACTTGTTCTTTTGAACAACTACTTGAATCCAAGAATTTATAAAATTAATATTTGATTTGCTTTTGTGGAGTGTACTTATCAGATCGACTTGATCAATCTTGTTAATAATAACAAATTTAGACATTTTTGGGAATTGGGTGGTTAAAGAATGAGGGAATGCAGAGATAAAGATTTTATTCATTATTAGCATTTACAAATTTTTTATACAACTCTACTCATCTCTATCTCAAAATTAAGCTGTGATATTTTATAACAGATGGAACTACATGCAATTTTAAATATCTTTGCAGGTAAAGTTATGCAACTTGTTGCTGGATTTTTTTTTATGTAAGAATGAAAAAAGGAATTATAAATACAAATGCTTCCACTGTCCAGCATAATGTAGAAGGCTTCAAAAATAAAGGAAGCTTCAGTTTGTTCCACTTTTTTAAGAACTATAAAAAAAATTCACACGAGAGTGCACCAGATTTACCAAAGAACACCAAGGTTTCAATAAGGAAATTTGTCGCCAAACAATGCATGTAGTTGAAATTAAAATCTCAAATAGTGGAGTTAATAGATAGACAATATTATAAGCATTAAGAATACAAGATGTTGATGAAAAATATTGAATAAATAATAATGAAGAGTAAATATGTAAATCCCGGTTGTCACTTTTACCCAATAGAGAGGGAGGGATGATAATCGCATGATACTGTAACGTGAATTGTAATTGCGACTGCTACATAATGGCTTATCGAAAGATTTTATTTTGAGATACTGTAGGAAAATGTTTTTAAACTGGTGTTATATAATTATAATTTAAGTCCCATTACAAATGTTTTCTTAAATTTTGGCCTGTTTATAATGAATCCTCAGGGTACTGTGCAGTGTGAGTGGAAATATGAGGGTTGTTCAAACAGTTCCTGAACTTTATTTATTACAAAAAAAAAAAAAAAAAAAAACTTCTTACAATTTATTTGTCAAAGTCCCCAACGGTGTTTCCACTTTTCGAAACAGTCCTGGAATGGTGTCAAAACTTTTTCCTTTGAGCATGTTTTTTAGTTTGGGGAACAGGAAAAAGTCACATTGGACCAGGTCAGGTAAGTAGGGTAGGTGGGGAAGCACAGCGGTCTTGTTTTTGGCCAAAAACTCAAGAGTTTTGAGGGACAAATGAGCCAGAATGTTGTCGTGGTGAAAAAACCACTCACTGCTCCTCCAAAGTTTGGGCCATTTTTGCCTGATTCTGTCTCTTAGGCATTTCATAACCCCCAGGTAGTGCTCTGTGTTGACTGTCTAGCCTGTAAGTAGGTATTCGTGATGCACAACACCCTTTGCATCGAAAAAACAGTCTACATCACCTTAACATTTGAGTAAACTTGTCGAGCTTTTTTTGGGACGGGGGATGTTTCACCCACCCATGAGAAGTTTCCGTGAAAGATTTTTCGAGTTTCACACAGAATTTCACAGAGCAACGCTGCTTCTTCAAAGAGCTCATTTCCGTGGATCCGATTTTTCGCCAAATTCCACAAACACCTCTTCACATGAATGGCTGTAATTAATCACCAAAACAAGATATCAACAAATGGATTGAAGGAGGTTACTCGGGAGGTTTCCACGGACGCAACACATCCAAGTGGATTAAAAATTAACCAACTAGAGGTGTGCTAATTTAAATTGGGTTGGGTTACGTGAGTAAGTTCAGGAACTTTTCGAACAACCCACGTAAATCTTGAACAAGTCAGTTTGTAAACTGGTATTGTGTGTGTACATTTATAGATTTTTAAAATTATTTTAGGTATGTTTTAAATTGTAACTAATGCCAATTTCTCTGCAAATTTGTTCTACAACAGGTTAGTTTTGAGAAATTTTCTTTAGAAGTAGAGTTTTAAACGTCTTGAGTTATTTCATTTGTATATAAACAAAAATTTTTGTTGTAGATATCTATATTTTTATATATGGCTGAAGAGGATCATGTGTACTGAAATGCATACCAATGATAGAAGTAGCAGTGTGATAAGTTTCTGTTATCTCTCTACTATAGTATTTGATATCTTAATTTCAACAATTTACCAAATGAAGCTCTTTTATAATATGTGTAGTGTTGTGGGCAGCAGAGTATAAAGCAGAGCAAAATCATTTATCAACAAAACAAATCAAAAGCATACAAATCTTACATTTGTAGGCAAAGAATACTTGGAATGTTCTAGATTTTTGCCACACTTTGGGATAACCAAGATCCTACCTCCAAATGTGGTGGTGGATGTACAATTTGGGTCTTTACGATTGTTTCTGGTTTTGGTAATCTTCCCCCTTTTTACTCTTTCCTCACTGTAATATCAACCACAAGGGAGTCCTCTAACGAGCACTTTCTATCTTTTTGAAGTTTTCTGGCCACCCGGATTCAATAACAGGTCACCAAAGCAGTAGGCTAACCCTTAACTGTACTGGCCATCTGGTCATTATTAATCTCTCTTTTTTCAAATTTTAACTTAATTTTAATTACATGTATATAAAGAGAAATTTGTTAAAACAACGAGCAACTATCCATTATTTATTTTTAAACTATATGGAAGCAAATTTGATAAAAGTTCATAAAAACTACTAAAACATTATATGAAGGGTTCAAGTCTAAATTTTACATTTTTTGAGATAGATTTGTCCATTTCCCACTGTGACAAAAAGTTTAATACTTATAATGAATGTTAGCTCTAATATTAGTCGTCGTAGATTGAAACGTGTATTCATTTTAGAAATGAATCATATTTTATTAATTTGTGCAGTGGCTAAAATAAAAATATGAAAACCTCAATCAGCCTCTTAAAATCTGTGACCCAATACTAAAATTTTTGGTCTAGCTTCCATGTGATGATGGTGAATTTGGAATAATTGAAAATGCTAGTTGTAAAATCATCAATATTTTCACTCCCAATGGTTGGATAGAGTTATTATATAGTATTAACAGGAAAACACTAAAAAGACTCATCTTCAGAAATCATCCAAACTTGAAATTATCTTCCTATCCACAAACTCTTTAGATATGATAATTGACAGAAAAGTTGTTATAGATGGCTATAAAGTGAGTTGCTTGAATATACATTTGTTTCAACACAAAAAAGTAATTCATTTTTAATATATTTTTAATTTAAAAAATGGCAATGTGGATGTAATTTGCAATAATTTCACATTAAGTTCATGTTGACTAAAACACTAATAATAGTCAGGATCTGTTGTGTCTTAAAAGACAACCAATAAAAATTACAGAATACAACTACATTTCAAAATAATGGAATATTCCTTTTTTCAATTGAAATTAATAATAATGTTATGAATAGCCCAGGAAGTTAGTTATAATACAAGAGAATCCGCAAATATTTGATCTTTAAGAATGTAAAATTTTCTCACCTTGCGCAGCCATCAAGTGCTCCACCGTCGCCCAGTGTTCGCTTCGACACCAGTCCATTGCCAGTTCCCGATTTTTTGTTCTTACGGCCTCTAATAAAGGTTCCAGATGATCCTTTAAAAAATGTTGATGTTGTTTTAATTAAGTTTCTTTTTAATCCTTAAAAGGAAAAAATGATTTTGATATACCTTGAGAGGCAACATATCTGTGGTGGCGATGTACATAAGCACGTGGAAATCTGACATGGCCTCCAAAAACCTACTTTTTGCAAACTGATTCATGTACTGAACCAATGCATTGAAGTCCTGTAACAAAGAAAATGTACTTTATGTAAAATTTACAATTTATAATTTGTCAACTGAAACTATTGGATAATTATAGTTATGTCAAAAAAAGGGCAATTGACGAGAGACCAAAAACTTAATGGATTTTATAAATACAATAATAAAGCTTTGTAAAAATCAAAAGTTTGTCAACAGATCATAAATTAAAAGCAACCAAGTTTGTTAAGCTTTATAATGACATCAATCCTGATAAAACTATTCTTATTCTTTTTGAGAGGTTTCTTTTAACCCCTTTTCTTTTGATAAAAGGGTAGTTTACGTCTTCAGTTTGGGTTTCACATTGGGGTTTTTACTTGATTTTAGCCTGTTATGGATTTTACATCTCAACATGGTGCTAGATAAGGACAGGTGTATCTCCTGGTTGTGTAAAGGTACTCTTGGCAAATTCTAGGGTCTACAGCCATGTGGGCTATTTTGGATTTTACTACAGTGGTTTGACCTAAACTAGCTTATGCTGCCTTGATTTGGCAAATTTGGCCTAGGATGTTTTACAAAGACAATCAGAAAAAAAATTGAAAAATTTTCAGCATATTGCATGATTTTCTATTATTAGGATCATGTCTACAACCCTATAATCCCTAATGTCTATGTTTGATTGAGATCCTACTTGGTGTTCCTTTACCTCTTTATTCAGGCTAAGGCAAGGAGAGCTCTCTGTGGGCTAAAGTGCAATGGTTAACTTATTCTTAGACATTTTTGTCTGTCTTTGGTTATTTGGCTTTAAGCGACACAAAGGAGAAAGACATCTTTCTGATGGGTTCTGACAGAATGTTACCTTGGTTTATGTATTATCTAATTTCCTTTCCTATTGACCTTTACTGCATATGGATAGGGTAATCTTTTATCCACAGGATAATCTGGTTTACAAATGAATCAAAAACTAATAGCAGCATGGGGGTGGTCAGTAGAGGGTTCTTTATTCCTACTGTGTTTCAAGCAAACCTGCTAGCTATTATTTGGTGCAATTGCATTATTTTACATAGATGTCCTCTTAATAAGGCTGTCTACATTGTTTTTAACAGTCAGATAGCTTTAGAGCACTTGATCCTTGTCAAGTTACTTCCACGCTTACTTGAGTATGCTGTTTGCACCTCAATGAACTGATTGATGAATGGCATAAATAAAATTGTCTTTTATTTATTTATGACAATACCAAGGAGGGACCAAAAGCTCAAAATACATTTTGTAGGAAATATAACAATGAAGACTTTTTCAAGATAAATCCATAGTTTGTCAATACATATAAAACATTTTATAAATTCACATCATTGAAAATTAGTAAATTAAATTCTTTTAATATTTATCTTGTATAACAGGACTTAATTTAATATTTCTGCATCCATAAATCCATTATAGTAAGATATAGAACATAATAATTAAATTAAATTCTTTAACAAAAATTTTGTTATTAAAAGTTGGATCTCTTTCTGTTCAAAGAGCTTCAATAGTTTCAATGATATCTATATAATGATTATTTACTCGTCCCAAGAGTGTTGGCTTAAGCTAAATTAAATTAATTCACTTTAACTTTCCTGATATCTCCAGAGAGATGGCCAGATGATTGAGACATCAATCGACCACTCTGGGATCTGGGACTGAATTTGGGCAGCCTCCTGGAAGTTTTTTGTGGATGGTGACATGAATATCTCTGGTCTTCATCCCCCACCACAGGCAAGAAAAAGACCTTTTTTAGTACCCATATTACAGAAAAAGTCAAAAATAAATAATAAAAGAAAAATATATCTCCAAAGTTGCAAAAATGAAAAGAAGAATGGAATATACCACTTACAGACTGATGCTACAATTTGGAATAATTGTCTATAATAGTGACAAAAGTACTTTAACGACTGTTTGGGTAAACACTAGACGGGAAAATTAATCGGAAAAATAGGGCATTTTCTGATAATCGGAACTGAGCAAATCTAGTCATGATTTCCAGTTCTTAAAATGATTCTTCCACATTCAATATGAAAATTAATTATTTGTTTCAGTAGAAGATAAAAACTTTTAAAATTATAATATTAACAATTGAACATTTCCAATAAACTGATACTTATGTTGACAAAGCAGAGAGTATGTGACACCCCATATAGAGATGATGTCTATCATGGGAGCCTTTCCTTCTATATAGTCAGAGTGATGAGAGACTGTACTTGGTTAGTATTAATTGTCCCCATTTTAGGGGAGATATAGTGTAACAGTAAAAATATTTAAGTGTCGGAAAAACAGTTTAAAATATAAACAAAATTATATTTTAATTGAAAAAATACTGAATATTAAAAATAATTTTATATTGCTTTTTGTCCATTGTTTTATTCCCAAATTACAGAAAATACATTTGTTTCAACACAAAAAAGTAATTCATTTTTAATATATTTTTAATTTAAAAAATGGCAATGTGGATGTAATTTGCAATAATTTCACATTNTGTGTAAACAATGACTCATCGGTGTTACATTTCACAGACAGGCGAAACAAAGGAAAATAAAATTTAAAGCTTTTTCTTCAAAATAAACGCATTTCTTTCGTTTTTTTTCTGTTTTAAGTATTTTTTACGTTTAATTGAAATCTATATAAAAAATGTCAATGTCCTTAAGGAGATATTAAGATATAATATATTAATTCTTACAAGTTTTAAAATAGAAATAGATAGCATCATCTGAGAATCATAACAAAATCTTTCATAATTATAATGAAAAAGTCATTTTATCATTATAAGTAAATTTACTGAATATTAAAAATAATTTTATATTGCTTTTTGTCCATTGTTTTATTTCCTACAAACAGACTTATCAAACTGGATAGCCACTGAACAGAATGACCTTGAGATACAATTTTCTTCTATTTATTTTGGATCTAACAGGTCCCTCCTCAGGCATAATACATAGATCTTTTTTTTTTTGGGATTTTTAGGCATATGCATATGGCTATCCAGTTTGATTTGTCCATCTACAGGAAAAGTGTGCTAGGATGAAACAGTTATTTCATCAATATAAACAAACTGTCCTTTCTCATAATTATGAAAGTTTTTGTTATGATTTGCAGATGATCCTGTAGTATGTTAAATTTTCAGACATGATTCTAAATAAAATACTTGTTCATGCTAAGTCTACTGCCATTTTGAATTTAAAAAATTGATTTTTTAAGATTAGTTAGATGAATGTCTAGACTGATTTACCTTTCCTCCCCAATTGTATGCAATTGTACACTTAGGAAAATCTAGCTTAAGTGAATGTGAATGAATTCAAAAATTGACAACTATATTCATTCAGCATCTTCAATCATTTTCTGAACCTCATTTAGTGTTAAATACAATGAAATTAAGGCATTTACGAGGCATGCCGATTGCAAGAAGCACACCTTCTCATTTACCTTCCCTCATCATTGCGTTGGCCATTGATGCCAGTTTTGAAAGATGGCAACCCTAGATGACATGATGGGATAGTTCTTTGAGTATAAAAGGAATTAGTGCAACACTATCCTCAAAGAATTTGTAGCTATTAACTTATTTCAGATAAAGATTATAAATTTATTTTGAAGTACACAATAAAAGCAGGCATATCCACATATAAACAGAAAATTTTCAAGTTCTTTTTCGAAAGAATGATTCTGCATTTCCCAGTCATTTTCCATTCTTAAGCTGAATGTTTATTAATTAATGAATGTACCATGCTCCTAATGTGTCATAAATCATTAATTTTTCAAAACTAAATAAACTTTAAGTATCCAAAAGAATTGGAAATGGGAGAAATTTTGTTATCCTCCCATCACTAGTAAACACATGCCATTTGGCAGTACAAATATACTGAATTAAATCTTAGTAATTGTATCTTTATCAATTACATTGCTAAGGTGTCATAAATTAATGTTGAGCTTTTAATAATTTCAACATTTTATGGTGCAGGCAATAGTTTTTCAGATTTGATTATGTACCTTTATTCTTCTTATAAACTTAATATTGTAAATGGCAACTTAACTAATCCAGAAATTATTACAAATCAAGGACTACTTCAGGGTGAACCTCTTTTTCCGTATCTTTTTAATTTCTACATTAACGACATAAATTATTTATTTGATAAGGATAACGAAGGAATATACATTAATGGATGTTCTTTCCACTATATTTTATATGCAAATGATTTAGTATTATAAGCACCAACTCGTATAACTTTACAGCATAAAATTGATAAATATAATGATGATAAGTATTTATTTATTCTATCGATCAACGCTTCAAAAACAAAAATAATTATTTTTAGAAAGAATATTAAACTATCTAATCAAGAAAAAGAACTCTGTTTAGACGGCAGACCTCTTGAAACTGTTAACAATATAAAATACCTGGGTATTACTTTTAGCTGGAATGGTTTATTTCAACAGCATTTAAACATCCTTACTACAAAAATCAATTCACTTATCAATAATACTATATATTTATGTTCAGCATTAAAGATTTCTAATTTAAAACTCCAAATTAAATTTTTTAATGCTATAATTCTTCCTTCGATATTTTACGCCAGCCCAATCTCGGCTCTTGATCATCTTTATAAACTTGAAAAATTTCATATTACTTACTTAAATTATTCAGGCTTGAGAGGACAGTACCAGGTTATTCTATTAGAACAGAAACAAATAGAATTCAACTACTTCCTTGGCTTTTAAAAAAAACTAATAAGATTTTACTACCAACTTATACAGACGATAAGAATATAAAATTTTTACACCAAAATATGTATCAAACTAATGTCTTAAATCTACTAATCATACTTGGCAATATAAATTTAATAATATACTTCAAACATATGGAATTTCAAGTGCGTTATTTGATAGTTCTGATACAGATTGGAGATATGGTTATACACTAATGATGGAATTGGCTATATCACAATCAATAATTCAAGATCAAAATTCAATATTGAAATCAACTTATCATACCTGGTACCCAAGATTTTAAAAATACCTTCCAATTCCTGTTTTATTATAACCAATATAAATATGAACATTAAACGACTATTCTTACAACTCCGTCTTAAATAAATATTCTTTATTGGTTAATAATACTTACATAGATTTTACCAATCAAATTTGTTATTGGTGTAAATCAAATAACTTTTTTGTGTCTCATCTACTGAAAGACTGTACAGCTATAAAAAATATCATCAAAAATATCAAATAATAGAAATTTTTGGTATGAACTACGATTCAAAATATACCTCAAGAATAACAAATTTATCAAAAATTAATACGTACAAACTAAACAACTTCTTTACTTGGATTACCGATATGTTTAATAATGATGACATTAATTAATATCCAGTTAATGGAATTTGACAATAATTTCATTTGTATACTTATTGTAGAGTTGTTTTACTGTTTTTTTTTTCTTAAGATTTAATTGTTATAATTGGTAATAACATATGTTGTAATTCAATTTATAAATTCATTATGTTTGTTATAAAAATAATCCCCCCTGTAACAAGGTTTTTTCCTTAGTACAATAAAGTATTTATATGATTTGATAATTTCAACATTTTATATTTACTCTTTTAATTAAAAAAAATGTATGTAATATTAAAATATTTTCAATTATTATCTAAAAAGAGAAAAATTCATTAACAAAAAATACTAATAGAAGATAAAAGTTAANAAATAATATTAGAGTAGCCAAGACATAGCCAAATATTGTAGCACCACATCACTAGCGGACATTTGAAATTTGCCGACTAGGACGGTCAGTTAACCGAGGTGTCGGTTAATCGGGGGTCGGATAATCTACTGTAGTTTTGAAAAGAAAGAAATGTAATTGAATAATAGAATTTTGAAACACTGTTGGTGAAGATACAATTATAAAGGGCTTTCAGAAATGTTCCATTACTGATATTTTGGATAGAACAGAGGATGATGCACTGTTCAAGCAGGCTAAGAGCATGATGGCAATGAAAGAGAAAACAGGAATGATGATAATAAGAAAGTGATGATGAAAATGAAAGTGGTGAAGTATTTTTTCAGTGACTTTCAAGACTTTTAATGAAAATTTCTAATTTTTTGAATTGAAATGAAATAAATGAAGTTAATAATAAAAGGATGGCTTTTATTCAGATCCTAATATTTTCAAGAAGTTATGACTTCAAAATTAGAAATATTGTAAAGATTTCAAAATCAATTTATATTCAGGGTAGACTTACATTCAGTCCAATGTGGCATTTTCTATTTTATTTTGAATTAATTAATCAGTATTATGTCACATATTTATCAGGATTAAGCAAATTCTATTTTCTGTGAATTTTAATATCTTTACTCATATTTTTATACATTAGTTGTGTATTAAAAAGTTAAGAAGTTTTTTAAATGTGATACAGTAAGACCCCGCTTAATGGGGAGGATGCATTCCTAGACAACAAAGTGCTAAACAAAACAGCGTAAAACAAGGTCATTTTAACACAGAGTAAATAGGGATAGGGGAACATGCGACCAAAAATTTAAAAATTTTACTTTAATTTTAAGTTATTTTTATATTAATTTGTATAATAATATGTTAAATAACACATAAANCTTTTATGAACTCTTATGTATACGAAAAACTTTTTTTAAATTTATATTAATATAAAAATATTATTTTCTTTCTCAATTTATTACAAAAAGGTTAAAATCATAATATCAAGAAATAAAGACTATAAACTTGCCTGAATATGGCCTTCAATTAGTCTATTTTCGACTGGAAACGATCGAATAGTTGAATCCACAACAAATGTATACTGCGGTTCCACTGGGGTGGATGCCGGCACATCCAGTAGTAAGTACTCCACAGGAAAAGGTCTTGCTAGTTTACTAACTTCATTTCCATAATTGTCTTTTTCCTAAGATAAAAGTTGTGTTATATTAAAAATGACAAACAGAAATTTTAATTTATAATAAATCACAAAACATATTTCACTTTGAAAATAATGTCTAAAAGGTTAAAAGAATGACCTTTAAAATAATCTACATAGGCACGGTTGAAACCAGGACAAATAGTTAAAATGTACTTGATGGAGAAAATACGAGTGCATAAAGGTATCTCCCAATGCCTTTATGCAAATTGATCTTCCCTTATCAATAAGAGGTGGGAAATTTTTGAAAATAAGGCTATGGTGATGGCTTCTACAAACTGTTTAAGTGCAATATAGACTGCATGTTATTCAGCAGAGAACATCATTGTGGAAAGTTGGATGTTTACCACATCATTACAGCACACCCATGATGATCCTGTATGATCTTTCTCTTTGGAATCATCGTTGTATATGAAAGTAAAATCCATTTCTGATAAGCCCCACAAATAACTGACAATAGTTGATCATTTGATATTTGGGAGAGATTGGAATTTATTGTGACCAATACAGTAATCATGGTGCAAGAACATGGAGAACGATTTTGATTATGCACTTGACTGAGACCAATCTTCAATGCTTTGTATCTATCAGAATCTAATCCATTGAAAGCTTGATTATGGCTTTATCATATGAAGTGCAGGTCTGCATGAGATTCTGCACTTCATATGCTTCAACCAATGCATCATTGGCACTGTTTTTATGTACAGATGCTTTTTATACATCTCCCGTATAGACACTATATTGAGGCATTAAATTTTAGCTCTATTAGGAGGAAGCAGTTGTCTTTCCTTTAAGTTATAAAATTATGTTTGCTGAAAAGTCATCTTGCATGACACTGTTTTTGAGCCTGAATATTCCATACTATTTCAATACAGACTTTATATTCTATCCTTTAAGATGTGCATTAATGTAAATATGAATGTTAGTTCCCAAAGATACAGAGAATAAAACTTTTAACATATTCAATATCTTGGTGCACTATTCTTCAGATAATGCAAACAGGAAGGAAATTAAGCTTTTTATCAAAGAACACTCCCAGAAATTTTGGGTGTGTTCTTTGAGGGATCAAAGGGGGATGGGATTATCATTGAAAAATAATTCTGGGCTGCAGTGTAGATCATGCTGTTGACAGAAATGAACACAAGATTTTTTCTGCATGGAGAACAAGCCATTATTTTCTGCCAAAATAGATTTTATATTGATTTTATTTAGTACTTTCCAATGCTTCCATTGACTGATTAAATATTAATATATTTCAATTACTTATGCTATTATTTATTCTCTTACTTTATAATTGAGAGATTCAACTTAAAATACAGTCATAATTTGAAGAAAGTCTATGGTAATTTCAGTACACTTTCTTTGAATTATGAATGTAAAACATTCTTGAAAAAACAACTTTAACAGAAAATATCAACAAATTATAAGTTTACTGTTAAATTTCAATGAAAAAAATGATTTAAATAATGCATATTTTTGTAATAAACTTTAACCAATTTAAGAAATAAAATATATTAATAGTATATTAAACAATACATTCTGATCAATTCATGAGTATACTAAACATTCCATAGCCAAATACATAGATACTTCTTTACTTCCAAATGGTTCTAAATTATTTAATAAATTATTAATACAGTAGAACCTCGATTATCCGGACTAATTGGGGATGAAGGTAGTCCGGATAAGGAAAAATCCGGATAATCGAAACAAATACTTTAATTTGTCTTTTAATGATAATACAACACGTTTTCTTTTCGATGACATATCGGTAATATTAAAAGTAAATACTGTATTTAAATCGTGATCAAATTTTCAAGAAACAAACGTTCGTATTGAATTTGGACTACTACTGACCAACGCTAACAGACTACCTATTGTTTAAAAGGCTCTCTGGTGGCGCAAGAAGACGGATTTTATAAAATAAAAAGCAGTTGAAACTGCAGTTTTATGAATAAAATTTGACAAACTATTTATCGTTTTATGACGAATAAAATTTTTTCGTCGCGTTCACGGCTTTTAAGTAATGCATAAACCTTCGAGGCGCGAGGCCCTTCGGACCGCAAGACATAGGCGGTGGCCCACATCGCCCATGCCATACGCCGCCCTTGGTCATAGAAATGAAATTTTAATATAAATTATTTATAAATACGTATGTCAAGTTGTATTTTTATTACTACGTAAAATATATTTATAAGAGTTTACGACCACTGTGCTGGGTGAGACGTTGTTGAAACAAAAAAAGTTATGCATTTCATCACGTACATAAACAGTGTCGTAATTTGCCAAGTGCAAATCAGCAAATTTGTAAAATTTTTGTTTATTTTGAACAATCCGGATAATCGAAAATCCGGATAATGGAGGTCCGGATAATGGAGGTTCTACTGTATTATAATTATTAATTTAGATAAGAGATTGCACCTAACATCTACCTCTAGTACCAAATTGCTTAGTATCTAATCATTAATATCATCAGATTTATAGCCCAATTAAGGCGACTGTTTAGTTGAGTTTCAAATCATGATTTTACAAGACAAAATTTGTCATTATTTTAGATAGATATATTTACAGATAATATATTAATTTACCTTATAAAATACATCAGGAATGTACTGTTCATTACTAGATTCTTTAACATATGCTAACTCTGGTGCATCTTTGGTAGGGATTAAGCAATTGTGCTTCACCAATGCCATACACTGGTTTGACACTTGATATCCCTCTGTGTGGACATGGTTGTCTTGATCTCCTATAATGACAATAAATTGAAGAGTTTTAATTCAGATCTTTATAAAAAAACAATTTATAACTGTATTACACAGATGTCTTTCACATAAAATATATTATTATGTTAAAATTAATTTATTTGATATTTGGGAATTGCCAGACTCTCTAAAATTTTTCCAATAAAAATGATTCTCATTGATAAGAGAGGATCTAAGATCTTGTTTTCAGTTAAACACTTAGTTTTAATATAAAATTTAGAAAAGTTTAAAGATTTTTTTAATTTAACATATTTTGTACTATTTTATCATCAATATTGTTTGCAAAAAGACAAGAAATCCTTCCTTAGTACATTTCTTAAACCAACACTAAAATATTAGCTCCTCTTACCATGTACTCTGTACTTAAATATTATTACAAAAGGGTAAAGGAAATGGTCTCTCTACAGATCTAATTCATAGAAAATAATTAGTCAAGCGTAAGTGTTGTTATGAAAACAAAAAAAATTAAAATTCAAAGTTTTAGGATGTTCTTGTATTAATAAATTGGAATGTATTTTAGGTTTTTATTCTATAACAATATACTAATTAATGTTAATGTGCGAATCTAGAGCTGAGAGATTAATTTTAACAGATTTTGTTAAAATATTTATTAAATATAATTTGTTAATTTTATTTCTTTTGTAAAAGTTGTATGAAGTTGAAAAAGGAACTTCCTGTTTAGTTGGAGAAAGATAACACAGTTCCTTCAAAAACAATAGCTTAGTTTGGTTTTCTCACACACTATCTGCAAAAATGTCCAACTTCTGTCACACGTTGGAAGAGTGAAGATCTTATTTTAAATGATTTGATTAGAGGAGATTTCTAATAAAAAATGAAAGGTCATCCCTGAATGATCTGCTTAGTTCAACTTAAGTCAGTTTAGCTCAGTTCACAGATGTTCATCAAGCTTTCCCCTGACCTTTCATGAGGACAGTTTAGACTCCATGTATTACAATCATATAGTTCTGTAAATCTGTGTACTCTCATCAAACATCAGCACATTTCTCACACAAAAGACTGAATGTCACTGAAAGGAACATATTTTTATAAACTCTCTCTCTCTCCACATGTAATAATTAGTTAGTGGATTATTAGTTCAAGTTTCCCCTTTTAAAAAAGGTTTTATTATAATTAGATATTTGTTGTTATTCTAACATGTCTTATATCTTATCTTTTACTGTAAATGTATATAAGGATTTTGATTAACTTTACTTAAATATATTTTAATCATTAGATTTTTTTTATTTTCATGCACCTAACTCCATTGTCTTACCCATGATTTATAGGAGGATCTATTTCACCTGCCTATAAATTCCGAAAGTTAGATAAATGTTCATTCACCTCTTAGTCTGCATAATTGACTAAGTAGTGTCAGGAATCCTGATTCTGAAAGATTTTACCAATCTTTCAGAATACAAACGGTCATCACAAATGTGTGATGGTGTCAACTGGAGCCACGTACATCTCACATTAATATTAAAAAACAATTTAATGAAGAAGTTTCATTTAGAAAGATTTATATTAAACATTAAGATTAAATATATATTTTACTACTATTTCCTACTACTAATGTACACAATTTAATTACCTGATAGCTTAGACCAGAAAATCAAATGTTTTTCTTAAATTAGAAAATATGCAACTCACTAGGACTAATCTAACAATCATGAATTAATTATTAATTTTTATATTTTTAAAAATACTAAGAACTTTCTACATCTCTCTATTTGAAAATAAAATGCAAAGGAATGCATTTCTATCTATTAATAAGAATTTATTAATAGCAGACTAAATAAAAAATTAGAATGTTTCTGCTGCTTTAATAGTTTTCCAAAAATGCTTATCCATGATTTGATAAAAGCATTTTCTAAACCAGTAACACTAGATCCAGAGCAGACAAACCTAAAACCAACAAGAAAGTTAACAGATATTTTAAAATCTGTTCATAAATTATTTGATTTTCATTTGTATGTTAAGAAACATACTACTATCATGCAGTGATTATGTTCAGATAAAGAAATTGTTGATGGTACAAAGATGGTTTCTGTTTAGGTAAGTTATTTAATAAAAATGATAGTTTCTATTAAATACTTTGCTAATTCTTTGAACAGGAATCTCTAAGTAAACATTATAAACAAATATCCAGAAGTCATTCTTGATATGCCTCTTTATTATCTAAATAGATCTTGACTAAAAAAGACAACAATATGATTCAAACTAATTTCAAAGAAATGAGAGAATTCTTGCCTATAAGACTGTTTTAACAGTTTTCAGTGGCTGCATACAGTGCCAAGAGAAAATGTATACAAAATTTACACTATTTATACATAGTTTAGTAAGCCAGAGGTATGCCAGAACTTCTCACACAGTGCAGATTAGGATAGAACTAGTACTGGTTTTATTGTATACATAAGCCAACATGTCAAATGGTTACTGATATGCATGAAGTTTATATCATCAACAAAATTTGGTTATGGTTAATGTGGAAAAATGACTACATTCATTAAGATACCAATTAACATATAAAATTAACTATAATAAAAATAAGACAAATTATGTACCATTAAAAACATACTCAAGTTGAAGAATTTTTAAAATTGATACCTGTTACACAGACAGTTACAAATTTTGAACCAAAATAACCATCTGAAGATAATCTGCAAGGGTTGGGATGTTGATTTTGAAAATATCCAGCCATTATACATTCTTGGGCACTCAAAAAATATGTTTTCTGAAAAGAAAAGAAAAATAGTATGGTATCATGTAAAATTAAAATACAATTAAATAAATTAGAAAATTATTAGAAATTATCTGCTTATAGATTATTTTTGCTATTACACATACTAATTAGAGAAATGACAATATTAAATAAAAATACAAGCACTCCTCAATTTATGAATATTCATAACAAACATCATAGCAAATACGCCAGATGGATCCTTCAACTATAAATAATACACTCCTAGCATTTTTAGGCAAAAATTTTGATTAAAAAAGAAACCAATTTTAAAATCTCATATTTTAAAAAAGTGAGGACCCCATATGTTTCATTATCAGATTCTTTACAGTCTACTTTGTCTGCAAATGGAACAATTTGCATGAAAAATATAGATGATGAATTGGAAAACAAAACTACCAATAGGTGAAATGTTATTAACAATAATTAAGTGTACTTTTATATATTGTTCTTTTGATTTTACTAATTGTTTCTGTTTTTTTAAATAATTAAACATATATAATATATAAGAAACACAAAAATGTAACAGATAGATCTTATTTGTAAATCAAGAAGTGCCTTTATAAAATTTTAGAAAAGATTCATTAAAATATACATTGATATCAAGAAAGTGGTTTCAAAACAAAATAAAATTTATAAGAATAGAGAATATGTATATTTTGTTCAATTCTGAAAGGAATCACACAGAGATATTATCCAATAATTTATTTTTGGTAAAATGTTGCATCTAAAAATTGTAGCAATTTACACAACCAAGCTTCTTCAAATGCTCAAATTTAGTACTGTTTGATGATTTTACTATCTCTGTTATCTCCCATGTCAAGTAACAATTATTTTCAATTAATGTTTCAAATTTGGTTATCTTCAATGATGACAATCTTCCAAAGTATGGAGAATTTCTGAACTTGAAATCACTGGTTTTGAATTTAGCACACTACTTGTGAACAGTTGATCCAGCTACAACTTTATCAGCATAAAAGCAAATATTTGTTTGTTACTTATACAGTGTTTTTACCTATCTGGTAACAGAAGAGTTTTAAATATCAAAAATTTAACTTCCATTTTCACAACAACAGAGTGAAATAATTTAGTTAATCCTAACAAACTTTTTACTGACATGTTTCAAGGTCACCTTTCATTGTATGTGTGGATTTTGTATTCTTTAACAGTTTTGATATCCTAAGTGTATTCAACCTCCATTAGAAATCAATAAGTACAGTAAAACCTTGATTTAACTGACAAAATTTTCAGTCTGTCTTATGCAAAAATTAATACAGTGTTAATTGCATTTTATATGTAATTAAATTAACAGGTTATTTTTTTCAAATCCAAGAGTCATTGATCATAAATTGCATTTTCCAAAAATTCTTTGTTTGTTCACTTTGATTTAGGTCATATACTTATTTACTTGCAGTCTAAGAACTATAGTGAGTACATAAGCAATAATACATATAGAAAACTTTTCTATGAAATTAAACTTTTCATACACACTTAATTTTAATTACACAAACGTTTCTACATAAGTAAAAACAAATAAACTAACTAATTTGTGAATTTTTTAACGTGTGCATTTGGAAAAACCATCAATATTATATAATGGACTTTTGACTTTAATGGACACACCCTTGCCCAAATTAGTTTGTTAAATAACAATGATTTAAATAAATAACTAAAGGAAAATATACAAGAAACTGCCATCAAAAATATCGGATACACGTAATACAAATTTCAGACTTGGACACAATCTACAACTTTTAACTGAAATGAAGGTGACAATATTTTTTTCCATATCATATTATATATATATTTAATATAAATATTAAAAATACTTACAGAATTCCTAAGATGTTTCACCGTTCCTTTTTGACGATCTTCAGCAATGAGATCAGTGAATATCCAGCCAACTCTTTGTAAACCTAAGCTCTTGGCCAAAACATCTACTAACTCAGCCTTATCGTCAGGTAATAGTCTCAGAGAATCTCTAGTTCCTTCCTTAACAGTTAAAAAAATTACATAAAATAATAAATAATAATAATAATAAATGAAATAAGCATTTGTGGAACAGATAAAGTACTTATTGTGCTAATAGTCCTTTCTTGCACAAGCATCATGCTACATACATAGAAGTTTTGAAACATTATTGTTTTGAAACAGCACGTACATCACAGTACAGAAAGCGCCATACTAAACACATACACATAACTCACAACACATACACATAAACACACATACACATAAACACACAACACATAACATACTCATAAAATTCTCAAACACAGATACACACAAATAGCATATATACAAAATCTTAGCATGATCTGCAGTTATGCTTTGTCTTAGTTTGGCATAGCATTTTGTTTATGCTTCTGACACAATATAGTGCTATAAATTAAGACACTTGGCGGATTTTCTCATCTTTATTTAGTTGAATACTAAATAAAGATGAGAAAATCTGCCAAGTGTCTTAATTTATAGCACTATATTGTGTCAGAAGCATAAACAAATAGCAAAGCACGGTTTCATATCATCAAAAAAAAAAAAAAAACATAGCATTTTGTATTGGTATATAAGCTGAGTAGGATACACTTTACTAACACCACTGTAATAATAATAGTAAATATACAGTTCTAAAATCAGTAGAGTTTGTTTAAACTTATAACTAAGGGGAAAATAGATAACTAATAAATAAGGGATAAACAGATAACTGATCTTGAAAGCCATACATTACAAAAAGCAAGTACCATGATCTAATGAATGTACTTTCCACCATCAAGTATAGTGATATTGATCAGAAGGAGAAAGAAAATGACTCCCTGTTACAACACAATTTCCAGACCACTAAAGATTGTGTGGCATACTAATGCCACACCAATCTTTAACCCTGGGCTAGTGCAGTGGGGTGTTTCGCCACCCCCAACGTTTTAAAAGTTGCACTATTCATAGATTTCGCAAGAAATATTTGTGTCCTCTTCAGTAGCTTCATGATTTTATGTATAGAGCATGCTCAGAAATTACTACGATGCTGCAGAAATTCCAGTAAGAGAAAAACAACAGTTTTCAGTAGGGTGTCCAAACACCCCACAGTATTAATTACTTTTTTTTTAAATTTTACAAATATTTATTTAGTTTTTTTTATTTTAAAAATAACTATAATGTGACCACATTTATTATTTATAATATAGATATAATAATCAATGTGAATAAAAATAATTTAAGTTTATTTTAATTCAAAATGGCTGACTTTCATAAACACATTGAGAAAATACCAAACATAGCAAGTTGCTTGTCATTTGCACTGAGTGCCAAAGTACAATGTCAGCTATTGAATCAGAGTGACAAAAATGCTTAAAAAACAATTTAGATTTTTACTATTGGTTTAATAATAAGATCTAATGTAATGAGTTTTGATAAATGTTGTTTTTTATTTTCGTGGATTTATGTACTAATATAATATGTAATCATACCTGAATATAATCATATGTATAATGACACATGCCTTTACCAAATAAATGAGTAAATCTTTATGAATTTTTACTTACATGGTTTATAGACCCAAAAAAATGTTGGGGTGGACAAACGCCCCACTGCACTAATGCCGAAAAAAAACTCAGTGCACTAACGCAGGGTTAAGAGTCTGAGAATGCATGAATGCCAACAACTTTGGCATCCTGTAGTTTTGCAATGACACCACTAAAGTCTGAGGCTAAATCCAACTTCTAAAGCAACTTCTATGCCCTATACAACAAATTATTTGGTGAACAGCCTAGTATATTTCAGTACTATAAATTAACACTAAATCAGGTCAAAATTACAAAACCCTAATTAGCTAGCAAATGCATTCATATGCTCCCCTGGCTTGGAAATACTGTATAATAAGACAATCTCGCATATAGGACAAGGTGTGACTTTAAAGATCAAAATAAAGAAAATTAGATTTATTAATACAATTCTAATTTTATTTTGTTTAATAACAAATAAAATATCAAATGCACATAAATGCACATATTGTCCTGCAAAAATTACTGGCATCTTAAACTTCAAGGAAAAATCTTGTAAATGCACATTGTTCATGTAAAGCTAAACAATCTGGAATCTTTTTTGCCAATTCTTAACAGTCAATCCACTCTTCATTGATTACAATTATGAGTTTCTCCGAATTCTGATTTCCAAATAATCATGTTTTTACATGGGAATGGATTAAAACTTATATCGGGCTCCCGTGTAATTTTGGAATTCAATTCAAAAGCTTTGCTTTTCCTATTGCTATTCATCTTTACTCCTGGCAATACACTCAAATGACCCAGATAAAATGCTTTTGTTTTTAAACACCAGAAGATGAGAATCTGGTAAAATATGCAAATACAGTAATACCCAGAACTTACGCGATAGATGGGACTGAGCGATAACCGCATAAGTTGGGGTATAATTTCGCAATTTGTGTAAAATCCAAGCTGGATGTATGTAAGCTAATAAATGTTCTCGTTAATCTTATCTCATCTTTTGATTCATTCACTGTTGCAAGAAATCACCACATAGAGTCTCTCAAATCTCCGTAGATATAATAAATACAGAAATAAACAACACAAAATAAATTGTAGCTATGCAATGATTCCGCGAGACACATCTGAACGTGAAAGTTGAACAATAGTATGGGGGGAGTGAGTAATCAACAGTTGTGTGGCGCTCAAACAAAAGATGAATCGATGAGATTTGAAAATCACGTAACTCCGGGTTCGTGTAAGTTGGGGTAGCATAAGTCAAGGTATTACTGTACATAGTTTACAAAAATTATACAAAAACAAAAAGAATCCCTCGCTCGTGTGTATAGGACAACCTACGTTTTTGAAGCAGTGAAAAATGGATAAAAACCTCATCTTACATGAGATAAAATACAGTAATCCAGACTTATCACCTATTTGGTGCTGACTGAAACAGAAGATGGATCAAAGGTGATCACTAATACTTCAGCAGTTGTGCACACTTTTGGGAACAAGCCTATTTAAATTTTAGAAAATAAATCTAACCTTTCATTTCGTGCGTCAAGTTAATAATTAGCATCTACAAGGTAGTTTCAAAAAGTTTGTGGAATTATTTCCTCCCTCGTAAAATAATGAGAGAGAGCTGGATGCCATGTTATCAGAATTTGGAATGGTATGGTCACGATTACACCATTTCCTTTCCATAGCAAAAGCAATCTGTTTCCGATGTGAAAGTAATGCAATTGGAATTCTAAATGGTATCATTGGGCAGCAAATATCAAATTTTTTTTGTGTTTTTCTTCAGAAAGCTCCCTCAGAAATATTAACAATGTTTCAGAAAGCTTACATTAATATTACCATGAAGACATCATATATGTATAATTGGCATAGACAACTTCATGAAGATTTGTTACTGTTACAATTATCCGAATAGAGAACTCCTTTCAACCTCAACATTGCACATTTGGAAAGTCTACTGTATTAAAACTAGATCAATCTATTTTTCTAATTTCTCATGTTTTGTCTATGGACAAGATAATTAGCTCTCTTTAATCATAAATGCCATCCTTACTTCAAAGTAATATTTTCACTTTATATCACTTTGTTCTGAGTCAAATTTCTTGGTAAGATTTTATAACTAACATGCACACACAAACATGCATTCTTTCTGAAAGATACAGAATACAAGATAACTATTAAACTACATAATATACAAGAAACTAAAGTCTAGAAGATTGTTATTTATATATCTTCATAATAAAGTATCACTACCATTTGTAATATATTATTAGACAAATAAGATGGTTACTTTTTATATAGAAATAAATTTTTAAATAAATACATATTTTTTCAATAATTGATTATTTCCAAAAGATTTTAACACTGATTATTTATTAGTGTTAACCAATAAATAACTGAAACTGAAAAACTGAAATAAAACATTATTAAAATAATATTAAAAAAAACCACATTTCTTTCCTTACAGAAAGTAAACTTATTTGTCAAAAGTAAAAATCATATGCAATTACTGATTTTTCATTCTTTAAATCCCTGCTATGATGCATAATTTTAACAGGTGCACTGTTATTTCAAACAGAAACACAGTGCATCTGTTAAAATATTTATTTAATTGACAATTATTAATTTATGTATTGTGCTATAAAAATAACAATAATAATTATTTACTTGAGGTGGTTCATAAATAGCTACTACAGATGCTTTAATTCCAAGAGGAACATCTTTATGTATTTCATATTTGCCATATAAATACCCCAAACGTTGATGGCCAGTACAGCGCCAGTAATCTAAAAAGCGTTCTACAAGAAAAGTATTCTCGAACATTACATTATCTACATGACGATACCTCTGAAAATATAAAATGAAAAAAATTATTGTCAAACTTAAATTTTTTAAAATATAATATAACTTAGAAAATATAAATTACACAAATTATTCATTTTGAAATAATGGATTCTTGTTAGTCTCAATGTCAATAAGAAATGTTAAACTAAATCCAAGACTTTATTATGATTTTTAATTATTTCATAAATCATTGCAAAAAACATTTTTTCCCTTTCATTTATAACTTTACTAATAAGTCATCATTTGAGACAGGCAATTACATAATATATGAACAATTAATAAATGAAGATTTTTTGTGAAGTATCTATACACCATTTAATTTAGAAAATTGTAGAAAGGAGTTTCTCAAAAGTTTCTTCAAAATAGCCCATCAGTTATTCCTAAATAATAAAATGGAATGTAATTATATTTAATTTTATATGTTCTTATATGTTGATATAGCATTGAAAGATTCAATCCTAATAAAGTTCACAAAAGGGTCATCAGTTTGATCCATTCTGATCAAATGATCTGCCCTTCCTCCCTTTTCCGTAAAATGTACCATGTTACTTTCAAAAGTTACTTTACATACAACCTTCCTTTGGACCCAGTTTCCTTAGCTTAGAGGTGGGCCAGTCCAGCAGGAGAGTCAGTAAAGTCTGCCACACTGATGCTTGTTTCAACAATAAGATGATTGTCATCCAGGCCTCGACGTAATCTTACGCACAATGCTTCCAGGTAAGCTCTCCTGGTCCAGAGAAAAAAAAATTGTCTGGAGGTCCTTGTCCCTTCTTAAGGGGATCATCCAGCCCAATGATAGTCCAATCTGGAGCTGGGTCAGTAGCTCGCAACCAGGTCTATCTTCAGACGGGATCCCAGTGTCATGTGTGAGAATGAGGACGATGTTTTTTATTTTTTCACTAACTGCGTAGTTAGTGAGGGTGACTTTCATCGTCCGAAGGTCATCGACGAGGGACCACGATGTCATGTGACCCCCATACGTCCGAGCGACCGGACAAAAATGTCTATATAAGGAAATAAGGTATGAATTTCTCTACGGCGCGGGAGACTGTCATAAATCAGGGAGAACTGTCAAAAGACGTCAACAATTCTCAGATTTTTCCCACGCTGATCGGGTATATAAAGGGGTCGGATTTTCTACTCGGGGCTGAGCCAGGGCGCTTAAGCCGAAGAAACCCCTCTGCAAACCTCAAGAGCGATCGTCGGGGAAGAAATATCGACGCACGATCTTCCAGCACTCTCAGGATCTAAGAAGCTCATAATTGCCGCTCCATGAAAGGTAAAAGACTTTGCTTATTTTCTATTCTCTCCATATACGACGGAATTACTCCTCAGAGAGGTTGATTGAAGAAACCTCCGAAGAACTTCGTCAAGGAAGAACTCTACATATTGGGAGCGACGGAGCATACACCGTAACAGGACATCGCTTCACATAGCCTTCAAAGGACACCTCGGATTAGTACAGAGTGTTTTATCAACGCCCTATATCAACGTTGCCTTCGAGGTAAACCCTTGCCATTATAATTTATCTCCCTCTAACGTGAGCTCTCTCTCGGATTTTAGCGTTAGGTTAGAGTAGATTTTAGAATACCTATTTATATCTTGATTCGCGTATGTTGTATTTAATATCTTTGTGTAAATTTTCTTAGTTATTTATTAAATGTGTTCGTTAATTTAAACCTGTGTAATCAATTGGACACCTGGTCACGACTTCTGACTCCTCCCCACTCATATTTTTAGCCCTCCTATTGCCATCCGACAACCGAGAGCGGGTCTTTCCGACCCGTGCAGATTAAGCGGTCATTAGGGTTCGACCCAGTGACCCCCTGCTACTCACATGTCGTTTCAATTCTATTTATTTATTGGAGTGCTTGTGGATACAGGATATTTTTTGTTTTTC